GAGGAAGCCTTCGGACGAAAGCCTCTGCTGAGTAAAGTAAATGTGAACGCGCGGCTTTAAAGTAGCTGTCGCTATTATTAACTTCCCATGGAAAATCTGCTCTGAAAATGAGCGTTTTGCATATTCCTAGAGCGCCATAACATCGGTGTCATGTGACTGTGTTCACGCCCTTGATGGAGCCCTGACTGCTGTTTCTTCCCTTTAAGCCTTTTAACTGATGTTTTAAAAGCCACCATGTGTTAAACTGGACTGCAGTTAAAAAAGTGAAATACACTCACTCTTAGCGTGCGCACATAATTCACAGCACATGCCCTGACTTGCGAAATTGGCCATATTTGTCATGCGACATTATTCAGAAGGGTGACAGGTAATAGCCTCAGGGCAAATGGAGAGCGAGTTTGATGTGCTGTAGGGTTAACAGCGGCCTGATCGCGGGGGCTGTCGGGCGATGTCAGATTTCCCAGGTGGCCTGGTGTTTTTAATGGTCACTGGGGCCGTCATAAAGGCACAATCGTCCCTTTCACCGCCTGCCGGTGATTGATGTACTCATAACGTCTTTACTGTACCAAACTGTTGGTCATATTTTAGACCTGACGCTTATTATTAAAATAAGGCATTTAAGATCATGATGGAGGCACCACTCTGACATGGGGGGGGGGGGGGGGGCATCACCATCACATGCACAGAGGGTGAGATTACCCCATCTCTCACCTCAGCGTATTTGTGGGGGGTGTGCAGCAGATTGATTTGGCATACAGCTGGGTCTTTCAGATCCTGGTGACAGACAGAGGCAGAAAGGGTGGATTACCCAGAATTCCTCATGGGTGAACTCCTGTAGGACGTACTGTGCTCTTACTGCCTGGCAACTGGGTGACTGGGATGGTAACTGGGATGATAACTGGCATGGTAATTGGACAGGAAACTGGGATGATAATTGCAATAATAAAGATGCAATAAGGGATAACTGCTTGCTCAGTAATAAAACATTAAGTCTAACCACCGTATTCCCAGCCATACAGTCATTTTTTAAATCACTTACATTTGTTTACATATAGTCAGCAGATTCTGCTTGCATTTTGACATGTCAGGCAGCAGCTGAGTGGGAATGCTTCTTATTGGCTGCTGGGACCACAAGCGACCTGGTTTTACTCTCGTTCAGGGATCGATTACGGCTTAATTGGCCCTGTTCTGTCACAACCTTGCTACTCTGGTACAAGGACGGCCCAGCAAATGACAAACAAACTCGTCATTAGGGAGCTCGGCATCTGTGGCCCGTAAAGCGGCATGTGCGGTCGATCGGAAGCCGTAAACACGCTAATGGCGGCGAGGAGTGCATTTTCATCCACCCTGCAAGCACCCGCCATAAATTGCACTAAGGGGTTTAAGTGCGCTGTAAAAACACACATCTCCTGTCCATGGTGATGGAAATGGGGATGCACCTGGGCACTTCCAGCATCTCTCAGTGTCGGAGACAGTGCTGAAGAGACCTGTGAGTCATTGGGCCGTCAGTAGGACCTATGGATGTTTCCCAGACGTGCCAAGCCGCCCTCATAACCGTAAAATCTTTCCCAGGCCCAGGGGGCGCTGTGTGGCTCTGTGCCTGTGATCAGAAGGTCACCAATTCGAATCCTGTACTCAGCAGAGTGGCCATATCTCCGTTGGGCCCTTGAGCAAGGCCCCAGACTTCTGCTCCTGGGGTGCTGGATAAATGGCCTGCGCTCACACTGCTCAGACCCTAAGTTTCACTGTTTATGTATCAAAAGAGAGTTAGATGACATATGTGAGAACTAAAGAATCCCGATCTACACGTACATGTGGAAACGACAAATGAAGCCATTGATACTGGAGCAGTGAGGTGTTTGGGTACTCTGACACTGGCCGACCTCATCCAGCCAGGATGTGAAGAAGGGGCTGTAGGGAACGTCCACTGATGGACTCGAGTTTTGCATGAATAGAGAACAGGACCCTGGTGGACCCTGACTGGGTTTGACAGTCAATTTATGTCAAACCAATTAATGTTTCACGAGAAGCTGGTTATCTCATACCAGGACCTCACCATCCTTTGGCTTTGTGGGGAATTCAGACTCCCTGTACATGACTGTAGAGTAAAGCCCACCTCTTTGCTCTCTCCTGCAGTTGAAGGTTCTGTTTGTGAGCTGAGCAGTCACCACTGTTGACCAGCGTCATGTGTGTTGACTGTCTCCAACATCACATCATGGCCGCTGATCCACCCTTTTCGAACCACCTGCCCTAATTATGTTCACCGGTGTTCCTCCGTATCTTAACTCCACTTCTCAGCAGAGTACTCGATGCCCTTTATCCCACCCCTGAAGTGAACGATCTTCAGCTGGGCCCAGACAGTTGGCCTCTAGCAGCGTCTGGAGGACAGATCCCAAGCCGCCTTGGTCCCGACGTGCTCGTCTGCGTCGGCTCCTGTTCCTGCAGCAGAATCACCGTCACGGTCAAACACCACTAGCAGTATCATCCACCTTCAACCACTTTTCATATTTTTATGTCCTGAAGACCCTGTTTTCCACTGATAACTGGCCTTCCACTGCTTTCAGGCCTTTTGAATATCATTGAATTCCCTTTGGACTAAATGGTGCCACCATTGTCTTACTTCTCCAGGACTCTGAGTTTCACAATGGCATCCCATCCAGGTTGTCCCGTGCCTTGTGCCCTTTGCTGCTTGGGATCCCCCTCAGTGATCCTGTTTAGGATAAGTTGATAAATCATGACTTGATGGGAAGATACTCTATGCTTATGAAATTGTGTGATATAAAATGAGACTTCAGTGATTTCCACAAGAGGATGCAGTGGTTCTCGAGCCTGAGAAAGAGTCTGAGGAGCAGCTTCTGAAGGCGGCTTTGCAGATGCAGCTCAGGCTGTCCTACTCATGGCCTGTCTTCCAGTGATGCACAACTTTACCCACGCAGTCAGCGACTGCAATAGAATGTGCGAGCCTATTATTCAGTAGGTGTTGGTTGATTAATTAATATTGTACATCAGGCACTCATTAGCCCTTTGGAAACCCCTCCCCGTCTGCATAATGAGGTCCCTCTGGTAGTGTCAGACCATTTGCCCGTATTAAGAAATGAGAAGCTGATAAGGGTCAGATGTAGCCTTGGGGAACACTGGGAATTTGATTTTTCCCAGACTTGTCATAAGCAATAGGCGGATTCATCAGTCTTCTTTCCCACTCTGAGTCCTCGTCTCCCAGTTTCGGCTTCGGGGATGATTTTGGAAAACCCAGCATGTGACACTCTGCGGGGCAATTAGCATGCATGGTCTGCCGCCGTCTTTGATGGGAGCCAAGTAAACGGATCAGGCCTAGTGAGTCATTTTCTTTTTGCTTCTGCCATTAGGGGACAGCGAGGGTGCTGGAGCAGCAGCCCACCCTTTGCTCGTGTCATGTGACTGCGTTTGTGGCTTCGATGCTGGAGGAACTTTGGTCGAGGCTGCATATGATCCTGCTGCTGAAAGTCATGTTTTCATGTCGATAGTGGCATTCCCGTCAGCTTGGACGGCGTCTTACATCGCATAACAGCGACATCCTGTCAAGTGAGGCCTGGATGAATGGTTTCCTGTCAAGGGCACCTGACATCGTCATGTAGAAATTTCAGGCTTGTGTAGAGTTTTGATGTCCACAGTCAGAACTACAGGATAATCCTGAGGAAGCAGCTGCTCGCTGTTAGCCTGGAGCCACTTTTCTTCTGCTTCATCTGTTATTCTGACAGCTACTTCTACACCAATGAGACCTCACCAAATTACCCTTTTACAATAGACTTTGACTGTGTGGGGTCCTCGAAAATTGCCTAAGAAATGATCTTTTAAGGTTTGACCACCACATCTGCCATTTCTATAATGCTATATTTTTGTAAAATGTTGTTTTCACGACGCGCAGCTCAGGTAAGGTGTCTTCCTGATGTCTTCCCATGGCCTGGCTTGTTACTGGCACAGCATGTGAGGTTCCCTCTCTCAGGCTACCTTTACCGTGGTAAAAATAGACGTGCCAGATGCAGTGTTTTGGCACACACCACTGCCCGTCATGCATCGCGGTGATGCCGTCAGTGCTGATGTCACAATTCCTCAGGGGTCCTGGAAGTTTCTCCTCACATAAGGCATCTTAAGTGTGGCCCACATGCTGACCTCAGCTGGAATCCACCTCAGTCCCCAGCCAAGACTGCCTACGGTTTCTGCGATTCCTGCCTTCCATTTTTGAAAGGAAAGTAAAACCCCGAACAGGCCCGTGTTCTCTGTCCCTGTCTTCCTTGGTGTCTGAACTGGAATTTAAAAATACTCCTTCATTTATGATGGTGGTCTGTACCCACATGAGGGTGATGTGTGCTGTTTCATTAGTTGGCAGAAAGTTTACAAGGTGGATTGTGATGTTAAGATGTCATGCTCTGGGTTTTTGCCGTTGTGGTGGAGCCCAGAGCATTAGATAGTGAGGAGGATGAAAGGCGTGGTGTCGGTAGCAAGATGTGCCTCTTGTGAGGGTCCTGTGTCCACCTTTCAGAGGGGCAGCTTCGCCGCCACCATTAGAGGCTCTAATTGGGTGTCAGCATCCTAAGACAGGAGGGCAGATGTGTCCCGCTGTGCCGGGGGGGGGGGGGGGTGTCCCACTCGGCAGTCAGGCACCGGCGCATTGTCCTGCAACACCACAGAGCCGGTAATGACGCGACTCGGGACCCCAGGGGACACAGAGGAGAAGCCTGGGCTTCACATACCCCCCCCCCTCAATACCACAGCAAATGAAGGACCTGCTGCACCCTTAATGGTCTTCAAATGCTGTGCCAGTGGACTTATGAAGCTGCAGGTGTCTGGTGAATCAATACAGGGAACGTGGCCCTTTGTGATGCTCGTCATTGAGGGACAAGCTTCTAACTTTGGTGCAAAGTTAGTTTATAGGCACTTCTGCTGGGAGGGTGGGCTGCAGTGCTTGGTGACGAGGGCCCTCATTGGCTGGTCTCACAAGCTCCTCCTCCTCCCCTCCACAGGTGAATGGCAAGGACCTCTCCAAGGCCAGCCATGAGGAGGCACTGGAAGCCTTCCGCAGCGCCAAGGACCCCATCGTGGTGCAGGTGCTGCGGAGGAGTCCTGTCGCCAGGGGCAACAGCCATCTGGTGGATGTGTGCACACAGACCGACATCACATTCGAGCACATCGTGGCCTTATCCAAGATGCGGCCCGCCACGCCCCCGGTCCCGGACACCTGCCCCTTTGTCCTCTCTGACAGGTATGCATTTCCTGCTCTTCAGTCTCACTTCCTCCACGTAACACAGTGCCAGTGTGGCTGTGTAAGGATCTGCACACCATTCATTTAATGAGAAAGTAACATGAAAATATTTAGCATACAGTTTATACTTTGTTATGACAGTAATGGGCCCCACCAGCGAATGGGAATTTAGTGGATTGTTTAAGTACATAATTAAACAAAATTATACAACATCTTATGGATAATTAGCTGATTTAAATGTGTCTGTCGCCTCAATTTTTGTGTCACTCATAGCCTTGTCTTTGAATTAGTTAAGCAGTTAGAGCGAGTGATTAGCTTTAACCCTGTCTCTCAGTAATAAAGGATCAGGGTGGTATGTGTGTGCCGCCCTGGCGTGCTTCCCTTTCTGCTCTCTGCTGTCCAGCATCATTTTTCTTTCTGCTCATTAGCGACGCCCCTTCAGAACTTGCAGCGATTTACATCAGCATGTTAGCACTTCAGCATGTTAGCACATCAGCATGTTAGCACTTTAGCATGTTAGCACTTCAGCATGTTAGCACATCAGCATGTTAGCACATCAGCATGTTAGCACTTTAGCATGTTAGCACTTCAGCATGTTAGCACATCAGCATGTTAGCACATCAGCATGTTAGCACTTTAGCATGTTAGCACTTCAGCATGTTAGCACATCAGCATGTTAGCACTTTAGCATGTTAGCACATCAGCATGTTAGCACTTCAGCATCTTAGCACTTTAGCATAGCTCAGAGGCGAGATTACGGGGTGACTGGTGTGCGGGGCCCACTACTCGGTGCGTGTGCAGGCGTCTCACACTCTCACTCTCGTTGATCTGCCCTGCCCCGCCCCTGAGCAGGTGCAGACCTACAGAGGGCCTGTTTTATGGCCCTTGCCACAGAGTCCTCATTTTTGTCTTCAATTGTAGCAGAGGGTCATAAACATTAACGTCGGTTTGTGTTATCCTCTTTAGTGCACTTGCCACACCGGGTTTATCAGCCAAATGCACTTTCGCGGGAAGCTGGACTGTTATCGGGAATTAAACATCACGCTGTAAGAGTTACGGCTGCAAAGACTTGTTTATCACATCACTGCCTGGCATTTATGTGTCGCCTTGCTATCGGGGCTTTAGCTGAAATGTTGACCGGCGCTTGAGTCTTTGGGAGAAACGTCGCCCCTTGATTGAGAGAGGAGAGATTAAGTCGCAAGAGGTTTTCGTCTCTTCATGTTCAGTTACTGGCGTGTCTCTCTGACAGCTCGTGAGCACATTGTGTCACTGGTGTTTTTTGACGCCTTTTTTGTTCATTATGGTCTGATGCTGAGACTCAGAGACAAAAGAAGCCGCGTTCGGTTGCGGCGAGCGTGACACAGCTGCTCCTCCCTGTCTGAGCTCCTCCCCCTCCCCCCTGTTGCCTTGACAGCTGTCACTCACTGCAGACGATGGAGCGGGAATATTACGAGAGCCCCGAGTTCCTCTCCAGCCTCCCTGCAGATGGCATCAGGACAGACGCCTTCGAGTATGAGGTAAGCCCCCCCAGGGCCCCTCCCGCCTCACCAATAACATCACCTGCCCCCGCGGGGCCTGTCCTAAGAGGATAAGATGGATCCCAGATGAGAATGCTCATCTCCACTCCTAGCAGGGTGGTTCCTGGATGCTGCTATAGTTTCTGGCCAGCTTCCATCCATCCATCCATACATACATCCATCCATCTTTCCATACCTGCTTCTCCTATACAGGGTTGTTGGGGGTTGAGAAACTATCCAGATTCTGTTTTGAAGTGGCAAAGCAGCACCTGTGTTTAAGGTGAAGAGGTCACCAGTGACCAGGTCTGGAAAGCCGGTCGCATTGGCAACCTCGCCATCACGTGTCGCGTTCCCGGCCGAGTGCGAGCTCATTAGACGACGGAGAAGGCGGGTCGCCTCCCCCCTCACGCAGTCACCTGACCAGCCTGTCCTGCGGACGAGGGGACGGAGGGCCCCGTTACCCAGGCGACGGGACAGATGGTGCTTTGGGGACCAGCAGATGCTCCTACCAGAGGCCATGACATCACACAGCGATTGACGGCAGACTGTCACTTGCGGCGGCTGGGTCGTGCCCATGGGGGGGGATTTGGTGGTTACCTCCCCCCGCCTTAATTACACTGGCGAGGGCGGGGCGGACCTTCAGACAGACCAGTGGAGAGGATTTACATCTCCCCAGTGTTTTCACTGGCTGGGACTCATTGCTCAAATGCTGTGATACATCCCCCCCCTTCCTCAGAAACGCTGCCATTCCCCAACATCCTGCCTCAGTCCGCTGACAGATCCCATTATTGCTCACACTTCCACACTTGCTGATGAGCCGTGTGGTGGGGCGGCTCCTGGCCTGCCGTGGGAGACAGTGGGACGGGGCTGCAGTGGGAGACACCGGGACGGGGCTGCAGTGGGAGACAGCGGGACGGGGCTGCAGTGGGAGACAGTGGGACGGGGCTGCAGTGCGCTGGCTGAGTGCGCTGGGGGACTCGGCATCAGCACGTTTATACTGCTGCACTGGTTCTGTGCATTTCTGAGCCGAATTTCACACCTCGGGGGGCAGCGGGGGGGCAGCTCCACTCATTTGCAGCTAAGACAGACAGGTGTGTTTCCGTAGCGGTGACCCCCCCTGGTTGGGTCAGAACTCAGAGCAGACCGTGTCAGCTAAGCTTAGATTCATTCAGGGGATGTTGGGTGATCCTCTTGGGGGGTCTCGGTACAGGAAGCAGGTAGAGCAGAGCTTAGAATCCAGAATCTTCTGGACTCACCCCATGTTCTCCAGATCATCAGAGATGCCGATCGCAGTCTCGCTATGGATTCTGGCAGTCGTCATTCTGGATCGGGCCTCGTTGTGTCTGGGTCTCCGCTCGGACAAAGGGAAGAATCCCAGGGGGTGGGCGACGTGCTGAAGGTACAGTGGACCGGCCCTGGTGCGCGCCGATGGTGTGGTGCGTGCGAGCGCTTTATTACCTCATCACCTGTCCCCTGTGCACGGCACGCCCTCCAAACGCCTCACTATAAATGAAAATCTGCCAGATTTATTATGTTCGCCGCATGACGTTTCCCAGCGCACCTGTGACCCGTCCCTTGGCGTTCCGAATGTCAAACACTGATCCTTCTTTAATAATTTAACATTTTGTAAGCAGGCCAGCATCAGCAGTGACGGGTTCGGTTGATCTGCATTCTGTTGGATAGTAATTCCGATAGTCTTTGAAGTCCCAGGAAAAAGAGTCAGTCGTACGCTGGGCTTAGTGGGATGAGCGCATCAGGGGGGAGACTGACAGGCTTATTGCGCTTCAGAGCAGAGATAGGTGCCATTAGCGTCATGGGGGGCTTGCCCGGTGGGGCTTTGACGGACGTCTTTCTGCGATGGTGGCAGGGGGCCCCTCCAGGGCACGATTGACGGGGCCCTGGAATGAGGCATGTTTGTTCCCCCTTTTCTGTGTTAACCGTTTTATTTACAGTCCTGCTGACACACGGGCCGCCCCAGCTGGCAG